GGGCTGGGGCTGTAGCTCAGAGGCAGAGCCCTTGCCTAGCATGCATAAGACACTAGGTTCAGTCCTCAGCACCACATAACGATATACAAATAAACAAAGTCGTTCTGTCCATCTATAACTACAAAAAATTTTTTTAAAAACCCAATGAACTGCATACTTTAAGAGGGTGAAATAGGGGCTGGAGATGTGGCTCAAGTGGTAGCGTGCTCGCCTCGCATGCATGCGGCCCTGGTTCGATCCTCAGCACCACATACAAATAAAGAAGTTGTGTCTGCCGAAAACTAAAAAATAAATAATAAAATTCTCTCTCTCTCTCTCTCTCTCAAAAAAATTATAAGGCCAATCAGGACCTTTCCTCTGAAATTCAAGAAGGTAATATCAAGCAGCCCTACCCACTTCTCAACTTGACTGTCCAAAAGTCTCAAATGGAATACAACCAGCACTGAGCACCTGGCCTCCTCTCACATGGAAATTGATCCCACACTCATCTTTCCCATTTATTTAAAAAAAAAAAAAGAGGGTGAAATAGGTCTGGGGTTGTAGCTCAGTAATAGAGTGCTCGCCTAGCACATGCAGGGCCCTGGGTTTGATCCTCAGCACCACATAAAAATAAAAAAATAATTTTTTAGTTGTGTCCAACCACAACTAAAAAATAAAATATTAAAAAAAGAGGGTGAAATATATGGCATGTGAACCATATCTCAACAAAGCTAGAAAAAACTATGAAGAAATATTACTTTTCTCACATCTGCTTAGTGAAAACTTAAAGACAGTTTGGTGAAGGGGGCTTCTAGATCTGGTAATGTTCTTGATTTTGTAGTAAAATAACAAATATTTAAAAAGGTGGGGGGAAGGTGTAGAAAAACTAAATGCCCATCAATTGGGACCTGCATGAATAAATCATGGTATAATTACACAAAGGAATACTATTTGGCTATTTAAAATAAGGCAGATTTATGTGTACTAAAATGAAACTATCCCCAAGCTAGAGAAAATTACATCAAAAAAACAAGGCACAGGAGAGTGTACCAAATATATGGTATGCCCCTGCATGTAAGAAGACAATAAGCTAAGGAGTGAGGGGTATTTACACACATATTGCCTCATAATATCTCTAGAAAGACATACAATAAACAACTGCTTCTGAGAAGGAGACACGGGGAAGTGGGAGACACTTTTTGCTTTGTGTCTTTTTTAAAAAAAAGATGGCCATATTATCAATTCAAATAAATAAATTCTTCTTAAAAAAAAAAAAAAAAACTGTATGCTGCTTCAACATAGAAGAATGCCACTCTGCTTCTGAAAGGTAAAATCTGAAATGTTTGCTATAAATTCTGAAATGTTTCCTGTCTTCCATTTTAATACTTAAATTCTCAAACCATCTAAGTAGGAGAAATAACAGTAACAATAAGAAAACAGTTACTTACATCAACACCTCCAAACAAGTCAAAAATGTAAGTATTTGGATAAGTGGTTTCTTGAGTAAGTTTCCTATCTTCAGTAACAAATGCCATAGCCTCCATGGAAAGAAGAGGAGAAATTTCCTAGTTTAAAAAACAGGACAAAGACATTCTGTTTTAGAATTCAACACAGACCAACATTAAAATATCAGTTTGCATTTTAGTCACAAGTTGAATCCCAACGAGCATAATGATAAGTGGCTCCAAATGAATTACACTTCCTAGTATCCAGACTCCTTTAGAATCCTTGCCCACACTGAATCTGGGCTGGGGTGATTTCCTTCAATTAACGTAATGTAGCAGAAGTGACACTATGCCACTTCCGACATAACCCTTAAGAAGGCTGGTAGAGTTGGCTTTTGCCATCTTTTGCCATAGCAGAACCTAAAGGTACTGCTATGAGAAACTCAACAAAGCCACCTATTGAGGTCATAAGCAGGAGAACTAAGGCCAGAACTGATATCTTTAGCCTATCTCCAGCTGACTGTTCACACCAACCAGCCATTTTGAATATTCCAGATGTCTCAGTATCCCTTCCCAAAGAAGAAGCAGATGAACCATTCAATCAACCAAGAATTGTGAGAGATAAATGATAAATGCTTAAGTTTTGTGGTGACTGATTCTTCAACAATAACCAAATCTGTTCAAGAGTCATCTCCTGAAGGAAGTCCATCTTGATTCCTCCCATTCAAAAGTAATCCGATGCTCTTCTAAAGCCCCAAAGCAATTTGTAAGTAACTTATGACATTCAGCATTTTTATTTTTTATCTATTTATAAATTTATGTTATTTCTTCCCTAGAATACAAAGCTCCTTCAAGAGAAGCCCAGAACAGATTCCTCTTTGTGTTTCTTCACTGTAGGTCTTAAGACATAACAGGTATTTGATATGGTAGAAATAGGGCAATGGTTCAACAAATTTTGGGAGCCACAGAAACCTTTATTCATATGGAACAAAACTTAATAGAAAAAAAAATCGTATAAAAGCCTACTGTGTAGTAAGTCTCAAATAAGTAATTGTTAGATGAATAAAGAAATGATGATCAGGGGGCTGGAGTTGAAGCACAGTGGTAAAGTGCTTGCCTAGCATGTCTAAGGCACTGGGTTCAATTCTCAGAACCACATATAAATAAATAAAGGTCCAACAACTGAAAAAAAAATACATAAACATACACACACATCTATATATATAAAAGAAAGATGATCAGGCATTAGAGACTCAGATATTAATTTTCCTCTCCTTCAAGTTCACTTCAACCCTATCTCTTGAGAGATTTTAAAAATAAAATGAAACAATATAAAATTTTTTGGAAAGCATTTCTAAATAAGAGGCTAAAATTATTTCTATCAATCTCAATCAGACTGGGAGATCAAGAACATGAAAACATCTCAAAGGTAAAGCTGAGATTTAGTGACTATTTTTTTTTGGAATACCTTCTATGATATAACATCAAAACTTTACCTCTAAAGAACATTATATAATTCATCTTCATTATGATAAAATATATTTACAGAGGTTATAACTGCAGCTAGATCTGGTACTCTAAATTTACATTTGGGTTAGAAACTCTGGGGATGGAACCCAGCACTCCGATGAACACTGCTGAGAATAACTGCCCTAGCATAATGTCTTTGCACTCTTTCCACCCCTTTCTAGCTATCAAACCTGGTCCCTTCAATCTTTTTATGTTAATGGTAATTATGAACAACTTATAAGGCACCTTTCATAAGCCTTCAGCAATATGGGATCTTTTAAACTCTGTTTAAAGAATGTCATCCAGGGCTAGAGATGTAGCTCAGTGGAAGAGTGCTTTTCTACCATGCACGTGGCCCTGAGTTCAATACCAAGCACCATGGGGCGGGGGGGGGGGGTGTTATCAAAATCCCCAGGAACAGTTTTAACCTCCCAAATTAATCAAACAGTGCTATAAAATATGCATGAATAAAGCACGCAGGAATACACAAAGGAAACTTCATGGTAATTATCTCCAGATGGTGGGATTACTGGTGATTTTTACTTCTCGGCATTTTTTCTGAAATTCTCAAATTCTGTACAGCTTATATAATTTTAAGACAAAAGCTATTTTAAAATGGCAGGCAGTTTGTATCACCTGTAGACCCTAAAGATAGCCCTTTTGGGCCCCTACAAGTTACCTTGAGGATGTTTTGGCACTCAATGAAGTCACTGTGGAGGTGGCTGGTGGCATACAGTTTAAGAAGCAATTGAGGAATTCCACTCCATTTGGACTGCTTGTCCCTCTCCGTCAAAAAAGTCTCAGTGAACTGTGAATTGAAAAAAAAAAAAAAAAAAGGAACATTTTACTGAAGAGAAAAGAAATACTAGCCAGCAGAGCAGTTGACTCCCTATAGCACCCAGGAAAACAATTCAAAAGCCTCTTTACACAAATCTTCAAAAGCTCAAGAGCCTACAAACTAAAAGTCCAACTCCTTACCTCAAGATGCAATGCCCTTCATAAACTAACCCCTACTTTTCAGCCTCATCTATTTCCCAAGGCTCACTCTAGGTTCCAAGTGAATGTGTTTTCTCTCTCTGTACCTCTCTGTACATGTTCTCTTGCCTAAAACACTCTTGGTGTTTTCTATCTGAACTGTTCATTCCCCTTTAAAACACAAGCCAAACAAAAATCTTTCTTGATTGGCCTTCCTCTCTCCTTTCTAAGAGATTAGGCACCCCTCCTTTGGGGCTTTATCTATTGCATACTTTATCCTATTGTTTCCTAACTTAAGATTCATTTATCCCTCTCCTCTAGACCACAACTACTTCAGAGCAAGTACCAAACTATGCCTGCCCCTGTCCTCCTGACTCCCAATCTCACTCAACCACAGAGTGCCTGGGACAGAGCAGGAACTCAGTAAATGTTTGACAACATGAGGAACAGCAACACTACAATGTCAGAAACATTAATCAATTATGAAAATTTTCACTAACCCTCTTAGGACACACCATTATGCAATGAACACTGATGAACACTGTTGAGAATAACTGACCTGTGAGGGGCCAGATATGAATTATTTTCATGTGCATTTGTTCCTCAATCAGATCAAAAACTTCTAGTACTATTAGTATAGGATAAATAGATCTTCAATAATATTTTGGTTTTATCCTGATATCTATTAGTCCTATTAAAATGGACAAATGCCATTATCAGCAATTTCATTTAGTTCAAGCAAGTTCAAATCAATACAAGCTCAAAAACAATTAAAATATATCTTCTCCTTTCTTTGGAAGGCAAAGAAATAAAACAAACATAGTTAGGGGATCCAGCAAAATGAGTGCTTAAGAGAAATTTACAGCTATAAACGATGGTATTAAAAATAGAAGCAACGTCACAAATCAATAATATAACCTTTTACCATGAGAAAATAGGGGAAAAAAAGAGTAAACACAAGGAAGAAAATTAAAAAGACTGCAGCAGGAGCTGGAACCCAGTGACACATGCCTGTAATCATAGCGACTCCAGAGGATAAAGCAGCATCATAAATTTAAGGCCAGCCTGGACAACTTAAAAAGACTCTGTCTTGTGCTCACTTCCACAGCACATATACTAAAATTGGAATGATACAGAGTAGATTAGTATGGCCCCTGTACAAGGACGACCCGCAAATTCGTGATATGTTCCATATTTTTTCAAAAATAAAAAATAAAAAAGAAAGACTCTGTCTCAAAACTTAATTTAAATAAAAGTCTGTGGAGCTGGGCATGTGGCACACACCTGTAATCCCAGTGACTCAGGAGGCTGAGGCAGGAGTAATACAAGTTTGAGGCCAGCCTCAGCAATTTAGCAAGACCCTCTTTCAAATAAAATTTCTCAAAAAAAAGATACAAATTACTAATATCAGAAATGTTTATAGGGCCATTATTACTGATCCCATGGAACACTATGAACATGCCTCAAAATTTTATTACTTGAATTAAATGAATTATTCTTTGAAAGACACTAACGACCAAAACTCATACAAAGATACATTGAGGGAGGCTGAGGCAGGAGGATCTTGAGTTCAAAGCCAGCCTCAGCAACAGCAAGGCACTAAGCAACTCAGTGAAACCCTATCTCTAAATAAAATACAAAATAGGGCTGGAGATGTGGCTCAGTGGGCACATCTCCAGCCCTATTTTTTAATCCTTGATACAAAAGAAAGAAACAAAGAAGGAAGGGAGAGAGGGAAAGTGGGAGAGGAGAGAGGGAAAGAAGGAGAGAGGGAGAGAAGGAGGGAGGGAGGGAAGGAAGGGAAGGGAGGGAGGAAGGAAAAAGACACATTGAATAAACCATCTATTAGAGAAATTGTGACTAATTTTTAAAATGAGGCAAATCTCTGAATAGACATTTATCCAAATAAGATATATGAATGAATGGGCTGGGGTTGTGGCTCAGCGGTAGAGCGCTCGCCTAGCACGGGCGAGGCCCTGGGTTCGATCCCCAACACCACATAAAAATAAATAAATAAAAAATATTGAGTCCAACTACAACTAAAAAAATAAAATAAAAAAGATATATGAATGGCTGGTTAGCACATAAAACAAAGATCAACATCATTAGTCATCAGATGAAATCCAATCAAATCCACAATAAGATATCACTTCATACCTATTAGGAGAGCATAATCAAAAAGACAGAAAATTAGAAGTGTTTGTGAGAATGGAGAAAGTGGAACCCTCACATGCTGCAGGTGGAAATATAAAATGGTACAGTTTGAAAAACAGTTTGACAGATCTCAAAAGTTAAACAGAGGGTTATCAAATGATCCATCCATTCTACTCCTAAGAGAAAGAAAACACAAAACAAAAGCACACAAATACAGCATTAATCTTTTTTTAAATATTATTTTTAGTTGTAGTTGACACAATACCTTTATTTTATGTACTTATTTGTATGTGGTGATGAGGATCAAACCCAGGGCCTTGCACATGCGAGGCGAGCACTCTACTGCCGAGCCACAACCCCAACCCAGCATTAATCTTAACAAGAATAGAAACACCTCAAATGCCCATCAACTGATATATGAATAAATACTGTATGTTCATACAATGGAATGTTATTCAGCAAGAAAAAGGAATGACATACTAATACATACTCTTGAGAGCATAATGTTAAATGAAAGAAACCAGTCACAAAGGATGACACATGGTTTGATTCATATGAAATGTCCAAAATAAACAAATCCACAGAGACACAAAATAGATTAGTTATTGCCAAAGACCAGAGAGAAGAAGGATTTGGGCAGTAACTGCTGCTGGGTACAGGGTTTCTTTATGAAGTGATGAAATGTTCTAAAATTGGCTATAGTAATAGTTGTATAATTTTGTATAAACTGTGAAAATCACTAACTTGTACACATTAAGTGGGTGATGTGTACAGTATGTGAGTCATATCTCAATAAAGCTGTCATAAAAACTAAATAAATAATGGATATAAGTTAACTTTTTAGAGTAAGAGTAATGTTCTAAATCCAATCTAAACTGGATTGTGGTGACAGCTGCATAAGTATAAATTTGCTGAAAATCATCAAATACATATAAATTTGCTGAAAATCATCAAATAAATTTATAATGGGTAAATTTGATCACCTAAATTATGTCTCAATAAAACTTTAAAAATGTAAACATGTAGGACATTCAAAAATCAAAAAATCAAACACATAAATACATTTAAATCCTAAAATGTCAGTTATTACATTAAGTGTAAATGTACTAAATGTTCCAATTAAAAATAAAATGTGTTATGCTGCCTACCAGGGAAATACTTTCAGAAAAGCTAAAAGTAAAATAATGGGAAAAACATGTCATCTAAACCCACATCAAAATAATGGTGGTATAACTATTAAAATCAGCAAGAGACTCAAAGCAAACAGCATTACCAGAGGTAGGTACTTCATAAGGATAAAAAAGTCAATTTGGATATTATAGTCCTAACATTAAATGTAACAATAAAAGTTTCAACATACACAAGCAAAAACTGACCATGCTAAAAAGAGAAATAAGGAAATCCATAATGTGGTGAGCCGCTTCTGCCGTTTCTGCAGATTATGGTCGCCATTACAAGATGACGCTGGCTCCGCTGTGGTCTGTGACAAACAACTTCTTATCTGGGAAAGTTGGCACATGATTTTTCACCACCCTGTGAGAAAGCTCCACGCGGCAGCTTTGCATTGGGGCTTGAGATGCTTTGTTAAGGCTGGGAGGGGCATCCGAGAGAGAGAGAAGAAGAAATATCAAGGGCCTGAATAAAACTGTTGAAAGAAGATTCCCGAGTTGCGTCTTCCTTGCGGGCAAGGGGTCGCGACACCATAATTACAGTGGGAAATTTTTATATATCTCTTTCCAAAACTGATACAGGTAGACCAAAAATTAATAATATAAAATAGTTAAACACAAATAAAATTGAATCCCTATAGCACTGCATCTATTATTTGCTCTCTACACATTCTTCTTTTTTTTAATTTTTTATTGTTGGCTGTTCAAAACATTACATAGTTCTTGATATATCATATTTCACACTTTGATTCAAGTGGGTTATGAGCTCCCATTTTTACCCCATATACAGATTGCAGAATCACATCAGTTACACATCCACTGATTTACATATTGCCATACTAGTGTCTGTTGTGTTCTGCTGCCTTTCCTATCCTCTACTATCCCCCCTCCCCTCCCCTCCCCTCCCCTCCCCTCCTCTCTCTGCCCCCTCTACTGACATTCATTTGTCCCCCTTGTATTATTTTTCCCTTTCCCCTCACTTCCTCTTGTATGTACTTTTGTATAACTCTGAGGGTCTCCTTCCATTTCCATGCAATTTCCCTTCTCTCTCCCTTTCCCTCCCACCTCTCATCCCTGTTTAATGTTAATCTTCTTCTCATGCTCTTCAACCCTACTCTGTTCTTAGTTACTCTCCTTATATCAAAGAAGACATTTGGCATTTGTTTTTTAGGGATTGGCTAGCTTCACTTAGCAGAATCTGCTCTAATGCCATCCATTTCCCTGCAAATTCTATGATTTTGTCATTTTTTAATGCAGAGTAATACTCCATTGTGTATAAATGCCACATTTTTTTATCCATTCATCTATTGAAGGGCATCTAGGCTGGTTCCACAGTCTTGCTATTGTGAATTGTGCTGCTAGGAACATCGATGTAGCAGTGTCCCTGTAGCATGCTCTTTTTAGGTCTTTAGGGAATAGACCGAGAAGGGGAATAGCTGGGTCAAATGGTGGCTCCATTCCCAGCTTTCCAAGAAATCTCCATACTGCTTTCCAAATTGGCTGCACCAATTTGCAGTCCCACCAGCAATGTACAAGTGTACCCTTTTCCCCACATCCTCGCCAGCACTTGTTGTTGTTTGACTTCATAATGGCTGCCAATCTTACTGGAGTGAGATGGTATCTTAGGGTGGTTTTGATTTGCATTTCTCTGACTGCTAGAGATGGTGAGCATTTTTTCATGTACTTGTTGATTGATTGTATGTCCTCCTCTGAGAAGTGTCTGTTCAGGTCCTTGGCCCATTTGTTGATTGGGTTGTTTGTTCTCTTATTGTCTAATTTTTGGAGTTCTTTGTATACTCTGGATATTAGGGCTCTATCTGAAGTGTGAGGAGTAAAGATTTATTCCCAGGATGTAGGCTCTCTATTTACCTCTCTTATTGTTTCTTTTGCTGAGAAAAAACTTTTTAGTTTGAGTAAGTCCCATTTGTTGATTCTAGTTATTAACTTTTGTGCTATGGGTGTCCTATTGAGGAATTTGGAGCCCGACCCCACAGTATGTAGATCGTAGCCAACTTTTTCTTCTATCAGACGGCGTGTCTCTGATTTGATATCAAGCTCCTTGATCCATTTTGAATTAACTTTTGTGCATGGCGAGAGAAAGGGATTCAGTTTCATTTTGTTGCATATGGATTTCCAGTTTTCCCAGCACCATTTGTTGAAGATGCTATCCTTCCTCCATTGCATGCTTTTAGCCCCTTTATCAAATATAAGATAGTTGTAGTTTTGTGGATTGGTTTCTGTGTCCTCTATTCTGTACCATTGGTCCACCCGCCTGTTTTGGTACCAGTACCATGCTGTTTTTGTTACTATTGCTCTGTAGTATAGTTTGAAGTCTGGTATCGCTATACCGCCTGATTCACACTTCCTGCTTAGCATTGTTTTTGCTATTCTGGGTCGTTTATTTTTCCATATGAATTTCATGATTGCTTTCTCTATTTCTACAAGAAATGCCGTTGGGATTTTGATTCTCATTGCATTAAACCTATAGAGAACTTTTGGTAATACCGCCATTTAGATGATGTTAGTTCTGCCTATCCATGAACAGGGTATATTTTTCCATCTTCTAAGATCTTCTTCTATTTCTCTCTTTAGGGTTCTGTAGTTTTCATTGTATAAGTCTTTCACCTCTTTTGTTAGGTTGATTCCCAAGTATTTTATTTTTTTTGAAGATATTGTGAATGGAGTGGTTGTCCTCATTTCCATTTCAGAGGATTTGTCGCTGATATACAGGAATGCCTTTGATTTATGCGTGTTGATTTTATATCCTGCCACTTTGCTGAATTCATTTATTAGCTCTAATAATTTCTTTGTAGACCCTTTTGGGTCTGCTAGGTATAGAATCATGTCATCAGCAAATAGTGATAATTTAAGTTCTT